TTCCAGTCTCGTTCCTCCATGTCATTAAGAAAAACAAGCTCTGTGCTATGTAACCGGGCTGGGATGAGGTTCCTAAGAATGTCCAGGTGAAATATCCTGTGACACCCAGAAATACTCCCTAATTCAGGAGTCCATTAGGAAAATGAAGCTCGTTCTGTCTGCTGGTGTAGGTTTCCTGATAGTCCTCATTTCATTCATAGTTCATAAACAGATCTTCCATTCAAACATCAGTTAGATCAGGAAAATAGCTTGACTTGAAAAAAGTTCACTAAGTAGCGTCTTACCAAGTACATTAACCATGTAAGTCACGTGCTTGACGTCTCCAGACTTGCTTCCCACCATACAGGAATAGTTTCCAGCATCCATTGGGTCAATGCTATCTGTGGCAAGATGAGAATACAACCTCCTCCAATTGCTTCCCGCCACCGCGTCCTGACCGTCCTTCAGCCAGTGCACTTGAGGAGTTGGGACCCCACTCACCACACACTCCAGGGTTATAGGACTATGAGAAAGCACAGATAATGCCTGTGAAAGGCGGGGGTGAAGAATGTGAAAATCGCCTGAAGAAGAGCCTGGAAAAAAGAGAAAACAAAAAATTATCACGTCCCGTCTCTTCCGTAGCAGTTCTGTGAGCTTTCCCACCTTCCCATTTATTCTTCTTTACATGACAAGGTCCTGCCTGGTAGCTAAATCATTTGTAGTTGAGAATTAAAATGAAGAGAGGTTGTGATCCTCTCGGGCTACTTCTGAATTAGCAGTTTAGAAATGAAGGACAGGAACCACTACTTCACTAAGCTTTGGCTATTGGTGCTACCTCAACTGAAACACCTTATTGTAAAAATTAGGCATGAAAGCTAAAAATCAGGTAGGAAACAGGACATATACCTATTTTTCATAATTCACAGCCACAAACTTGATCACCACTAATATCAAGTTATATTTTCTCTGTAATTCATTTTTATTTGAGCAAAGGCCAAAGTTCTCTACATGTATTCCACTCTGTCATCTTAATCAAAATTCTCCTCTAACAATCATTAAAACATGTTCAATACTATTCTATTATACATTTATATATTTAACTTTTTATAAGATTTCCTTATGGTAAACAAACACGATCTGAAAGAAAAAGGAACTCTCATTTCCCAATGAGGAATGCTCCCAAGGACTCCTCCTCGTTACCAATATTCTCCCAAATACTTACGACTCACAAGGAGCTTTTGGCCAATGGGTTCGACTTTTAATTCATGTGTGACCGGATTAAAAGCTGCACATTTATATGATCCCTTGTCCTCTAAGGAAACGTTCAAAATCTGAAGATTTCCTGATGGGAGGATTAAGTAATTCTCTGAGGAAGGAAAGGAATGCAGTTAGGCCTCTCTCTTTACAAAGGATACCAGTGAAAACGAATCGATTTTGATAGTTCTGCTTTAAATTTAGACAGAAGACTGGCAGCAAATACACAATTGAGGAGAATTCATGAATGAAGGAAAGGAAAAGTCAAGGCAGAAAAGGTCAGGAGTACCAGAGTAACAAAAGCAAGCCCATTGGAAACACTGGACAACAGATCGCTGGTTGGGAACACAGGCAGGAGAAGCAGTTAGACAAAGACTCAGTGACCAGCTACCTCGCCACCCTGGGCAACCCTGCACCTGTAGCACTGATCACCGGTGTTCGGTCATGGCTATTCAGTCCTTGTTTTTCTCAACGAACAGGTATTGAGTGCCTATTTCCTGCCAACGATGGCCCAGGCACAAGGGACAGAGCAACGAAGAAAGAGGACACAGGTCCAAACTCATGCGGCTGACAGTCCAGTGCTGAGTGGAGGCGGCAGATAACCAACCAGCAAACAAAAACATGTATGACACAAGGCTCTGGGGGAAATGAAGCTGAATAGAGAGGACAGAGCAGCAGGGCATACGACTTGAGGAAGGGCCCAGAGGGCGGTCTTCTCAGAGGAAGGTCTGTCTGGGCAGAGACCCGAAGGAGTGGAGAGGGTGAGCCCAGGGAGTGCAGACTGTAATCATTTCTGTCAGGTAACCATTTCTCCTCATCTCCTCCCTTGACTTCTGAGAACACGTATGCAATGCATTGTTTGTACCCACGATCCCCAGCCTGTAGAGCTTAATAGCAGGTTCTTTAATGAACATTTGACCTCTGGGTGCCATTGGCGTTTCATGAAAACTCTCACCTGTCGAGTGCCTCAGCCACTTCCCGCGGATTTTATAGCGCACCTCGGCTTTGGGGTTGCTATCTGGTACCTTGCAGCCAATGAGACCAGCACTTTTTTCTTCTGCTGTAATAACATGCTTTGTGGATGAGTCAAAATCACCAAGAACTAAAATAAATAAATACACAGAATAAATAAATGTAAATGTGAACTCTCTTTCCCAAAGGAAACTTAAAAACTAAAAGCAGCATCTGCAGCATGGCTGATGGTGGCAGCGAACCCCAGGTCACAGGGTAGCAAGCTTTTTTTTACCCCACAGAGCAGTTGGGGTAGAGGTGCATGGTTGAGGCTGGAGTTAAGCCATGGCACCCTTTCCCGAAGACATCGAGAAAAGCAAACCACTCTTAAAACATCAGGGAGAATTATAAAGCATAACTATTCCCATTTTGTCAAGATAGACCCTTCTCAATCCAGTCCCTCTTCAAAAACTGACTTCCCCCTGCCCAGCCAGCATAGTTCACTGATTGAGCATCAATCTCTGGTCAGGACACATACCCGGGTTGAGGGCTCGATCCCCAGTAGGGGGCGTGCAGGAGGCAGCCCATCAATGATTCTCTCTCATCACTGATGTGTTTTGTTTTTTTCTCTCTCTCCCTTTCCCTTTCTCTCTGAAATCAATAAAAATATGCTAAAAAGAAAACAAAACTGACTTTGGGTTTTTTTTTTTTTTTTAGTTTTATCCATTTCAAACGGGCCGGATCCGGCCCGTGGGCCGTAGTTTGCCCACGGCTGAGACAGACCCTTCTCAATCCAGTCCCTCATCAAAAACTGACTTCCCCCTGCCCAGCCAGCATAGTTCACTGATTGAGCATCAATCCCTGGTCAGGACACATACCCGGGTTGAGGTCTCGATCCCCAGTAGGGGGCGTGCAGGAGGCAGCCCATCAATGATTCTCTCTCATCACTGATGTGTTTTGTTTTTTTCTCTCTCTCCCTTTCCCTTTCTCTCTGAAATCAATAAAAATATGCTAAAAAGAAAACAAAACTGACTTTGCCTATGCATCACTATCCTGTTTGCAGCTACACATACTCAATGAAATGGTTTATGAGGAACCTAGGACGTGGAAAAACAACGCTGCATGTCATGTGGGTTATCTGCATATGCCGGCGGGGTCTCAGGCCCTCTCCGTGTAAGTTACCACTGACGCAGCCTGCAGGGAAGCCTGTTACCTCCAGCGCTGAGTGCAGTCGGCAGCCTGCCACTCGCCTGCTCTCAGTTGTGCGTCCTGGAGCGATCCACGGGTCACAGCTCTACACAAACATTTGCTCTTCTCAGTTATGACAAACTCACTACTCCTGGGGAATCCACATTTGCTCTGTAAATAGGGGTGCCCTTGCAGAGACGGTTTCCCTTGCTGGAAGCCATCGCCGTTTGAAAGGCAGATGGCTCAAACTTACTAAGAAAGCTGCGAAGTCCAGATTTTCCCTAAGTTCAACACTCAACATTCCTTTCTTTACAGTCAGTTATTATTTTCCTGTTTCTTTAGCCTGGTTTCAATTAAATAAATTAAAATCACTCAGTGATCAGGCAAAAATAAAACAATTAGATGTGAAAGAAAGATAAAGAACTGCATAAATAAAAGATAAATAAAGATAAATAACTGAGCATCAAAGTAGACAATAGGTTTTTCGTTGTTGCTCAGATTAAGGACTTTTAAATATCAAGACATTCAGAATTCACTTTAGAAAACTGTCCTATCTATGTACAAATCCACTTCCATACCCTTGTTACAGATGAAGACAACTAGGCTAGGCTCACAGAGGTTCAAATGCATTTCCCCCACGTTAAACACAGCAAGCGTCAAGGCAGGAATGAGAACTCGTGTGTGTCCTCCTCCAAAACCCATGCTCTTCCCACAACTCCAAAGTGCAACCACTGACAGTAATTTCAGGAAAACCCATGTAAAACAGGGACAAAATCAAGCTCACCTGCAATGGATACTGTTGCAGGGCCGCTCACAACTGCACCGACGCTATTGTTGGCAATGCATTGGTAGTAACCCGAAAGGGAGGGGTTGAGAGAGAGAATAGTCAAAGTGCCCTGATGAATCTTGATCTGCTCCAAGTTTCTGTCCAATCTTTTCCCATTATGCAACCACGTGATATGAGCAGTCACAGGTTTAGCAGAGCAATGTAGAACTACAGGTCCACCAGGTTTCTGGACAGCAGACAGTGGCTCAGAAATAAAATAAGGTGCCAGGTCTACAAAGGAACATTCCCCGGGTGCAAAGGAAGGGGAGAAGGAGAAAGAAAGTACATTAAAGACATTTCCTCTCAGTCCACCTTGCTTTATCTATATATGTTATGGTTCTTAATGCTTGTAAACGTTTTAGGAAGTCTTAACAGCTCATTTTTGGAAGAAGTAAAGGCAACATGTTAACCTACAACTTAATCAAGGTACAATAGATAAGAATCCTTAAGCTATAAATGAGAAATGGCAAGTTGCTCATTTAAGGAAGTAGCTTTTAAGAAATGAAAGTTGACTGTCTGAAAAAGTGGCGATGACTTTCAAACTAAAAAGAAATCTCTACCAAGTGACCAACAGGGTTTGACTTTTAAGAGCAAGTTATTTTATAACTAAAGCTACAGTACAGCTTTACCACTTCCCTTCAATATAAAATAATGTTCAACTTTTAAGGAAGCGCAAGTAGAAAGTTAGGAAACCACAATGGACTACAAAGTCTATCCTTTTTTTTTTTTTTTTTTTTTTGGATAGAAGGCTCAATAGGGCATCAACCTCACTATTTTTATTTGGTATTTGGAATAGTTTCATTTGTTATGTCTATTCTCCCAGAACTTGGGGGAAGAGAGGGTGTTCACATACTTAAGTATCAAAACAGAGCTCTCTCTTCTACCCCCCTTCTACCCCCCCAAAAAGAGGTCAGAGGGTAGGAATGCTAGTACTCTGGCAGAATAAAATACTTAAAAAAAAACCTCACCAATATGTTATTGAATCTATTCTTACAGGATATTTGATCAGAAATGAAGATTAAGTGCCTCTCTACTGTATCTGAGGTTGTTTAGCAAAAAAAAAAAAAAAAAGTAATAAAATCATTAATTCAATTTTCCCTTACTAAACCTAATATAGTTGTACAGTGTATTTAACAGAGGAAAAGAAATATTATTTAATGAGTAAACATCAATGTATATCATAATACATCTTTACACAAGTCTAAAGTAAAAAGAAATGCCTGTGGGCCATTGTTAGGCTCAGGCTTACTATACACACTTAACAACAAACACATTTAAGCTTTTCAGTAACCCACAGAGTTAGGTAGCAAATTAGACAAGGTCATGAGAGCTGGGTTTTTAACCAAATTCTCTTACTCCAAATTGAATACTATTACATGCTGACACTAAAATTTCTTTTCGGTGGTATGTAGTCAGCATTTTATTCCTGTTATAATTTGCAAATTCAGAAATCTGAAACATATCTTTTTACTGAAAAAGTCACAATTGCAAAATATTTATTTTTAAGGCAATAAAAGGCATAAATTACAAGGACAATGATGGGAAGGTCTGCTAATGCCCAAGACGCACTACTAAAAGGTTCTTAAATTGCGAAGTTAATCAGTTTTAAAATTTGGTCAAACAAATTTTACAAATGTCTTTAGAATCCATCACCACCAGCAAAATACTGAAGTCGAGGTTGTTGTTTTAAGATTAAGAAGAGGAGACGCTTCGGTTAAAACACTACGGTTCTTCTATTCTTACCTGAACTCACAGAGGAGCACAGAAAGGAAAGAGTCACATACAGCAGTGTCTGTAAGGGTCCAGGATCCGGATGCATAGCGCCAGATTATGGACGCGGCTGGACAGGTTTCCAGAGCAAAATCCAGGCCTTGGCTCACTGAAACACAAAGAAAAGAAAATCTAAACCACAAAAAGAGTTGGCCTCATTGATCCGAGTTGTCAATAGCGTTGTGAGCATGATTCGTATCTTCACAACTGACAAGCTAATCCCTGGGTTCTAGATTACAGTTAGAAGGTTTGCTCATTCTTCCAAAGTATTGGGAATACCTCTTATTATGCAGAACCATCATTCCAAATGAACACATTCACCGCCTGTACTGAGTTTGTTTTATGTCTCACACGCATCTACAACTCAACACAATCAAAATGCATGCCTCCTCTACTGTCCTTAAAAGCAGAAATAACAGAAACAACAAAATAATAGCAAACATTGACATAGTGCTTAGTATGTGTCAGACACCATTTCAGTGCTTTTTGCTACATTAACTTCATCTTCACAACCACCCTATGAGATTGGAACCAGTGGTTTTCTTCCCTTCTTTCACATGGGGACTCGGGCTCATGGATTGTTCAAATTGAACACCAAGTGCAGGCCTTGGGGATGCAGTTTACTTAGCAAATGTGCAGAACATCCAAAGACCACTGTGGTGCGAGTGGATGAGCCAGGTGAAGAGCACAGAGCGAAGCTGGCCTAGACCCCATCCAGCTTTGAAAGCCATGGGACGGATTTTGGAATTGAGTGCAAAAGGAGAAAGGGAGTAAGAAGAATCAACTGCTCGTTCTAAAAACAGTTCTGAGGATGTAATGAACAGCAATTTACATTACATATATTACAGGAGAATATAATAAAAAATAGTGTAAATAACTCTATGCTGTCAGATGGGTACTAGACTTACTAGGGTAATCACTTTGTAAGGTGTATGTGTCTAATCACTATGCTGTATACCTAAAACTAATATAATATGACATGTCAACTGTAATTAAAAAATAAATTTTAAAATGATTTTGGGATTTATTCCCAATGTGACGGCAAGCCCTTAGAGGACTTAGAAAAGGGGAATGATGGGCTCTCATTTAAACTTTAGAAAGATCACTGGCTGGTAGGGGCGAGACTGAAGTGGGAAGACATGGAAGAGGGTGACCAAGTACAGTAACGTAATTACTCAGGAGAGAGGGGAGAACATGGTGGGTAGAACAGTGAGTCAGCTGTGGAGGTGGTGAAAAGTACATGGATTCAGAACATATCCTAAGACAGAACCAACAGAATTTGCTGAAGGCCTGGATATAGAGTGTGAGATAAAGAGATAACTTAGTGCCAAGAATAACTTAGTTGTGGTTTAACAGAATAAATAATTGCTCTCTGTTTACTGAAATGGAGAAGACCGGAGAGAGGGAGATGACAAAGAGGGGTACGGTCGACAGTGCTGTTGTAGCCCATTAGGCATCTCAGTACTACCGTCAATCGACAATCACATGTAGCAGTCTGGAGCTGTGGAGCGAGTCAGAGCTGGAAATGTAGATGTTAGACCTGTAAAACCCATGGCCCTGCATGAGCTCTCTCAAAGGAAACTGAGAGAAGAGGTGACGAGGTAGGAGCCTTGGGACATTCCAACCGCTTAGACTGACACGGGGAAAGGAGCAGTGGGGATTGAAGAGAAGTCATCAGTGAACCTGGGAGAACCCGAGGAGAATATTATATCCAGGGGGAAAAATGGGGAAAAAAATTATTTCTAGAAGAGTCATTAACTCTCTCAATTACTCTGAGAAGTAGAGTAAGTGAGATATCACCAGAAAGGCTTCATGGAAATACTGGTGATACTGACAAGAGTGGTTTCAATACAGAAGGAACTAAAGACTGATGGTGGGTTCACAACAGAATGGGAAGGGAGGAAATGAAGCAAGCAGGCACAGAAAACCCCGTAAGAGCTTTGCTATAAACGGGCAGCAGAATAACAGGGAGAGCTGATGGAGATGAATGACGGTCAAGGGAAGGTTTGTTTTTGTGGGGGCCCTCTAATAGACAGAGGGTACAGCAATTCGGCAAAGCTAGAAATGCCTACTTCTCTATGCCAGATACTCTAAAATCTGCAAGTAGCAATTCCAACTTTATCCCAAACACGGACTATCAGTTCATGGGCTGCCTTTCCAATTTGTTCTTGCCGACCTCTTTTTACAAACGGGAGAGGGTATTTTGGTACCACTCATGGGAAGAAGGGGCCATCTGTGTGAAAACATTTTTGGTTTATTTGAATTCTCACTTGGTTCAAGGGTAAGAACTGACACACCGCTGCTCAGCAGTCAAGGCAAAGTAAACATTCAAGTAACTTGTTAACAGGAGCCACTTTCCTGAGAGAATGAGGACAAGGAGGAGTGTTTTCTTCCTTTTGCCAAATCTTTCCTCAACTATTTATTTATTGAAAAGCAGTAAAAAAAAATTCCTGAGTCAACTTTAACCCCAGCACATGATCTACTGAGTTTTACAGCTGTCCTTTAAAATTTCACAGCTCATTATTGCTGCCTAAATATTAGCACACAGGAATATCCTTTATTACCCTATCTTTCTATTAGGTTACTCATAACATGCTATTTTTAATTAATTTTTTTAAATTTTTCAGTAACAGTTGATGTGTATTAGTTTCAGGTCTATAACATAGTAATTAGATATTATATAACTTACTAAGTATTCACCTTGATAAATCTAGTACCCATCTGACACCATACATAGCTATCACAACATTATTGATTATAGGTTTGTGAACCTTTGAGAGATTTTAGGAAAGCATGAGCCAAGACAGGCTCTTTGTATGGAAAAGCCAAAAGTTGGGTGGGTTCAGGTCTCCAGGAATCACCAGGGCAGAGTGAACAATGTTCGCCAGGTTGATAGAGACTCAGATATGGTGCCTGCCTGCCGGCTCTCTGGGGAGAGGGCTCGGTAAAGTAACAACAGCCTCTGCCAGCACTTGTCGGAGAAGAAGCTAGCCCTTCAGCCCTCACCAGAAGCCAATAATTCAGTTCCTCCCCATATGTCCATGATGCACCTTTCTAGCTACTGTTTTAGTGCTGGAGCTCAGAGCAAGTGAGTCAGAGTAAGTCCATGCATGGGCTCTTTAAGAGGAACACTTGGGACCCCAGAAGCCCTCTATCTCACTCAGCCATAATCTCTGCTGGTCTTCAAAGTCAGAAGTTAGGGGGACTTCCCTTCCCAACACTGGAATCCTAGGCGGGGGCCCCGGTGTGGGGCTGGGACCACTGCCCTCAGGAGGACCTCCACAGTCAATATATCCCTTCCCATTTTTAACCACCACACGTGGGTTTGGGACCAGCCCGTTCACGTCCCTGCCCCTCCAACTAGTTTTGATGTGGCCTCTTCTTTATATCTTTAGTTGCAGGGTTTCTATTCAGCTAGATTTCAGGTGGTTCTCAATGATGATTGTTCTATAATTTTGATGTGGTTGGGATAGATTCCAAGTACCACGTTTACCCATCCGTCATCTTGACCAGAACTGCAACACACTATGTGTTGATTTTGCAAGTTGGAAAGAACTTATGACCATAACAATCACTTACTAAATATTTGTTAACTTGATTTATGTTTATGAATGGCAACCTTGCTCAGTTTGTTAAAGAATTATGATAATGAGAGTAAGGCCCTGAGTTCTATTGCACTACTGGAAAACTGCTCAATGCTATGTCATTTTTAAAAGTACTCTTTGTTGAAAAAGGAAATTCGATATTAGTATAAATGCTATTTGACTAGCAAGTTTATATATATATATATATATATATATACACACACACACACATATATAAAACACTTAATATGTAATATATAACTACATAAAATGTACATATTTATGTTTTATATATTTATAATTTATACATAAGTATATATGTCTTGCACTGCCCTACTAAATGAACAATTTGTTTGGCCAGTTTACCACAACTGAGCAAGGTCCCTGCCATTTGACATAGATCTGTGGCTTTAACATGCATGTCACCTTTCTTACCCATAAAAATTTACCTTAGCAAAGGGAAACAACAATCCTAATTCCCCCTGCATAAAAGCGGTCCCATCCTTCTCTTGTCCTCTTTTCTGACTAGGAAACAGCCATGGTGAGTGCACCTCAGCCCACTGCACCACTCACCACTTTAGCACAAAACTTGTTGTTTGACCTCTGTTCTAGTGCATTTAACATTCCAATATTCTCAGCACAAATTAAAAACAGAATTCTGATTTCAATCAACCAGATAGAACAGAATTCTGATTTAATCACACTTTCATTGTTTTAGACTTCAGGGTTTTTCCCACTTAGAATTTTTTTTAAAGCACCCAATGTGGTTAACATAATGCCAGGTACATAACATAATATTCAAACAAAATATTCAAGTTTTTTCACATATTCTATGATGAATATGTTACTTTTACAAGCAAAAAGTTGTTAACATGTTACTACAAATACTCACTGACAAAAAATCATTCAGCATAGAAAATGTGGACTACATAAATATACAAAATAATTAAACATGACATTTCCATCACCCAAAGATAACACATCAACATTTTGTTGCTTTTCCTTCTAATCCTTTCCATATGTGTATATTTACATGACTGAGATCATAACATATATAAAAGTTTTAAATCCTGCTTTATTCATTTACCTAATGATGATTTTTACTTATTAAAATTATTCTTAAACATAATTTGTAATAGCTATATTTTATTGAATGTAGTTTAATTTACTTAGCTATTCCCTTTTGAACAGTTAGCCTACACTTTTTAATATATCTGTATATATTTATTTTTGCTAATACAGATAATGTCACTATGGATATCTTTGTCCATAAATCTTTAACCACTCTAATTATGTCCTTAGAATAGATTTTTTTTTAAGTGGCATTACTGGGTCAAGAAGCACAAACATTTTTAAGACTTTTTTTATATAGTCAAATTTTTTTTCCAAAAAGAAAAAGACAGCAACAATGTACAACCCTATCTCCAACAACCACCATCAACACAGTGTGAAGGGACTCCCACTCACCGGCATATAGTTTAGATCCCTACACTATGCTAAGCAAAGAGTGAATATAAAACATGAA